CATTCAGTGTAAATATTACATCCTTTTTATGTGAAATATTATGTCATTTCATATTAAAACTTACGGATGTAAACTTGCGTCAGAAAAAATTTCCTGATGCAGGACCAGACCTGGACCAACTTTTCCATCCCTATTCAAAATCTACCATGCCTCTAAAGTTGGTGATTTGAAATTCTGAAACCAGTGTTCGAAATTCAATTAGTGGAATCAATGTGTGCCAACCAAATCTGGAAATTAACTGGGGGATAATTTCTAAATTTAGATTAAGGCGCAGTTAAATTTCGAACACTCATTGAAACCAGTGTTGAAAATTCAATGCCCACATGTAACATTATACACCAATCAATTTTTTAATTTTTGGAGATAGTTTCTAAATTTGTACTAGTTATACAACATCACAAATTGTTGCAGGCACCAACTTTACATGCCTCAATAATTCTTGGTTTAAATGTAGCTGTTTTGCCACTTTTTGACCTGTGATAGTTTAATAACCCATTAAAATTAATATCATAAATTTCCCTATTATTATTATATGTAATGATTACTGTTAGTTTTTTCTGGATATAATTAACACAGTAGAAATTAGTGTTCCATGTTGCAATCCAAAAAAGGAAACCAAAGTGGTTGCAAAGTGGTTGCAACCAGGTGTCGCAAACCATTTTTATATGTCACAAATATGGTTGCAACCATCACCAAGAATTGCGACCAGCATCTATAGTAGAAATAAATAAAGTCAATAGCCACCATTATAGTTATTAAAGAAATATTCAATAATATTCTAATTATATTTAAATGTATGAATTTTATACCCACAATCCAGGATCACTCATTAAATAACATAAAACTGAAACTAAGTAAAAAACTATATTCATTTACAAAGATATGGGCTGTTAGAATTTTTTTTATGTAACATAATAAATGCATGACTTTCTAAATTTTATATTTATTATATTTAAAATTTTTCTATAATCTTAATAAGAATTTGTAGAATTAAAAAAGGGATGGACATTGGAAAGCACAAAGATCTTACATTAAGAGGTACTTTTTAACAGGTAATGTAAACAAAACTGATTAAATAACCACTAATGGCAAAATCCAAATTTGTGAATATTTCTGAAGTGATAATTGTTACAAATTGGATTGCACTTGTAGCAAACTTGAAGAATCCAATTCCATCAGAATAATCTGGATTAAAGAAGGAGAAGAGATGAGTAATAATAATGACAACGAATAATTCAAATGTATTGAGATTGGCTCACAAGAAATGATAGCATCCAGCAACAAAGAATCTAGTGTGCATGGAAAGGTAAAAACTGTCTCGGATGATAAATTTTATAAATGCCTTGCAAAAACATAGGCACTAAATGCATTTTTTAAATAATTTAACTCATCATTATATGTTGATGTATCAATTCTTCCACAGTATTAATGACAAAGCTATATAATTTTGGTCTGCATAGATGATGATAACATTGATTAAAGTTAAAAATTTTATTATACTTTTTGCTACATAGCCTTTTAATGTTTAATATGATGTTCTATTATATTATTAACTAGTGACTTTTTTACATTGATAATGTATGATTTGTCAACAAATCAACAATTGATTGTTTAATAATCTTATTCTTTTAAAAAAAAATTGTCCGATTAAATAATAATAATAGTTGTAAATAATAATTACAATTATTATTAATCTATTTGTCTATTGATGAAGATTTTAGTGGCAATGATTGATAATGATTTGTATCAGTTGGTTTATGTAATTTGTAGTAATTATATGCTGCTATTCCAAAAATTGAAATTACAAGCCTAAATCATTTAAAAAAAAATCATAATTTAGAAAACAATTTTCAAATAAAAAAAATTATTTAATTCAGAAAAAAAAATATATATATATAATTACCCCAATAAATTTATAGAAGTCATTACATCATGATAAATAATGACAGAAAGAGTGATGATAAGCACTTCTTTGCTAATGCCAGCTACAGATAGTGTGACAGTACTTGTATTTTTGATTAAAGCAAATTCAGCCACGGTCATACAGAAGGCTAGCAAGCCACCTATTAACATCAAACCAAATGTTTGTAAGCTAGTTGTAAAATCATGGAAATGCATAGAAGTACTGAAGACGAATAAAGGATTTTCGAATATTAAAGAAAGAATAAGCATCAAGGCAAACATTACAGGTGAGATGTAATAAAGTGTTGAGATTGGATCATCTATTCCTTCCTCTTTTTGCAACAATATTTGTGTCAATGTCCATCTCAAACCACTAATAATTGCTGCACTCAACACTAATAAAAACCCTATAAGGTCAAATTTTGTTTCTCCTGCTACTGTCAATATCACACCTATACTTATCACTGCTATTATCAATATAAGCAAAATCCTTGGTTGTTCTAAATGAAATAAAAATGCAAAAAGCAAAACCCAAATTGGTGTAGATGATTTTACCTTTGAAGAAAACACAAATTGGGAATTATATGAATTTTTAATTAGATGAGGAATTTAGGGATAAAAGGGTTGGGAAACTCACACTCCCTCTCTTAATTGATAATTAAGCATCTAAAATTTTTTCCTTACCATAGTATAAAAACTGAGTGTCACATATACAAGAGATGCATTAGCCATACATATTTCCAATCCAGCAGTCACAGCACATGGAATCTAATAATAATGAGGAATATATGAAAAATTATTATAAAATTTTCCTTCTCCCCCTAAACAAATAAAAAATAAAAAACTCACAACTCTAGTGACATAGCTATGCATTGATATTGATTTTCCTTTTTTTCTTTCATAAAGAAATGGTAAAATATCATTCATTAAGACAAACGATATAATAGAATGCATTCCGGAATGTATAACACTTATAAGTAATGGTAAATTTAAATTGAAACTATCTTTTCCCATTAAATTCTTGTTGTAAAATGATAAAACAGTAGAGAAAAAATACCAAACAAGTATGTAAGAAAGATTTTTTAAAATATTTTCCCAACTAAAAATATAATTATAAGTGTTTGGTTTATTGTTATTACTATTATTATTATTATCATTGTCTTTTATTAAATTTGGCGGTGATAGAAGAATGCTTTTTTTTGTTGAAGAATTTTCCAATTCATCATCACTGTTATTTTGTGCTAGTAACGTTACAACTGACTCATTGTTATTGATATCACTGTCAAAATCTGTAATGACATTATCATTATCACCACCATGAATGTTTACTGTTAAACTAGTAGAAGGAGATTTTATCGAAGGTGAAGAGATAGGTAAACTAGACCTTTGTTGTAACAACGAAGATCTTTCTATATTGTCTATTTCATCATTTGAAAATGTTTCAATCGAATTTTTGTTGTTTTTAATATTATTATTATTATAATTATTATTATTATCATCTAAAATGATTGTTTCATAATCATTCTCCATATTAAAGGTTTATATTTGAAAAAAAAATAACAAAAAAAATCAAATTTAATCCACGTGTGACATAAATAGAAGCATCATTACATTATTTAAACTATAAATATCAAAAATTAATTAATAATGAAACACAAAATTTAACGCACAAATTCCTATTACATATATAATTTTGGTTTTTTTAGTTGTGCTACAACAACAATTGCTAATCAAATTCACCATGGAAAAATAATACATCTTGTCAATATTATGGCCATAACTTCTCACAATGTCTTAATATTAGTGATAAGTGTTCAAATCCGTGTTTCAACTGTTTCAGCATGGTCATATTTGTCAAAGCGTAAAGGAAATGATATAAAGCATCTTTTCAAAAGAATAATTTTTAACGAATATACTCGATTGCTAATTGAAAAAATATATTACATTATATTATATAATTTGAACAAACCAGACACCAAGCCAAATCTCCAAGCTAATTACCTGATTAATTAAATGTTAATGTGTATAATAATACATATTTGCACCAGCCCAAATCTCAAAAAGTACCGCCACAAAATAATGTGTGCCATTGTAATTCTAAGATTTCTTCTTGCAATGGGCTATTCATTTTCCCAAAAGGAAAAAATTATCATTAAATTGTTTTGGATTTTTTTTCACAGTCATTTGATTTCTCATTGCTTGTATTCTTTGTACTATTTATTATCAACACTATAATCCATTGCCGCTGTTTCTCAAAAATTTCACAATTTCACTATGAAGTTTGTTTGCTGACAAGCTCCGAACGAGCCGAGTTTATACTCAGCTCGAGCTCGAAATTTAATATTTATTTATTATGCTAACATATCATATATAATTCATTTTTTTAAAAAAGATACCATACTGTGATCAAGTTTTGAGATAAAATTCTTATTAATCCGAATTTGATTTATTCACTTATATACTAATACTAGTACAGCCAGAACTCATTAAACCGAAATCAATGCTTTCACAAAAATAATCTTTGGTTTAATAGAATCGGCTTATATCGTGTATATTCGTTTTATCAAAACATCACTTAACGAGTTCTGACTATATAATAGATCCCGTGATCACAATATATAATGCAATTTTTTATGTGGGCTTTTCAATAGAAACGCGCGAAACTCTGAAAAAAAAACCAAAATTACATTAATACTACCTTTATACTCTTTTAGGTAGAGCATCTTTGGTTTAGAACCATACACACTTTGCATAGTAAAATTTTCCTTTGAAGTTTCAAAACGAAAAAATTTTTCACAATACAATTTTCAAAGTTTTTATTGAAAAGCCCCATGTGTCTAGCCTCTCTATTGAAACAAGAGTTAGACTTAAAGACCTGAATGAGCTGAGTTTAAGCTAACTTAACATCTTTTCATAAATGTATAAATCAAATTCAAGCTCGAGCTGAACGTCAAACTAATACTTCAACTCAGGCTTGACTCAAGCTTTTACTCGAGCAAGCTCAGCTCGTTTGAAGCTTTAAATTTACAATTAGCTTTTTCTTGAGGTATTGTTCTTATATTCTGCTGTTGCCTTTAAGAGGTCCTCATATAATTATTGGCATAGTGGCGAGGTGATAGGCATAAGTTTTATCACAATAATCTGCCAAGTATTGCTTGGAATTTTATTGTATTTCCGTGGGTTACAAATAAAAGGACTTATATTTTCCTTTAACAAGTATAATAATTGATTACTATAATACTTTTCGATTTCCTTTTTTTATTAATCTCCATTAGCTAATCATTTAATAATATTCTTTTTCATGAGGTTGATATAAAAATATTCTCATCGGTTGGTATTTGTTTTTAGTTGCACACACCTATCATTGAATAAATAGTATAATCTCGCCAATATTGCAATGTCCCTTTTTTCTACAGAAGAAACGATTGGAGTGGGGCTTATTACAGTATTAAAATATCTGCCCCACGTGACCTGAACAGATTTCCAAAAAATCAATGCAATTTAATAAATCAGAGTCACATCCCTCACGTCAGATTTCTCATTGCAGAGCCTGGATTGGGCTTATCAATACCTATTTCTTTACTGATTTTAATAATAGTAAGTTTCGGAGAATCAAATTAAATAAAAATGATCAAACGTAAAGATGTCATTTATTTATTGAAATATAATACGTGTCACACAAAACGTAACACCAATTTATATAAAAATTTACTTCTAGTAAGTAAAATAACAATGGATCATTTATTAGCAAATGGTGTAGTAATTGACACAGAGAAAGAATGCTATATGAGAGTATATATAATAATTAATTAATCAATATTAATTAATCTCCATAATGTAGTTAATTGCCTTGTAATTTTATTTTATATAGATGTTATTTAATTGGGACATAGAGCATCTTTGTGTTGTTTTTTCATGGTGGCGTATAAACTCAATACTAGGTCTTGTTGTATCATGTGGGATTGTTATTTTAATTGGTATGTTTTATGAATATATAAGATATTTATCAAAAAATTATGACAAGAAATTGTATCAAGGAAGATATCGTTCAGTAGTAGCTGAGGATGATAATTTAGTTGCGTTAAATGAAGAGGAGGAACCTAGAAACAAAGCTCCTATAAATTCAAACAGTACAAGGTAAAAAAATCCAATTAATATTAATCATCCACAATAATCAACTATATATATATATATATTAACTATGATGATTATTATACATTTAGAGTTTTTGAATATCAACGATTCTTAAGAGCATCAATTTATTCTGTCCAAATAACTTTGTCACTTTTCATAATGTTAATATTTATGACTTACAATGTATTTCTTATTATAAGTGTTATATTTGGTGCCTTTATTGGTCATTACATCTTTGGTAAAAATGTCAATCAACGGGATGATATTTTTGACTAATTTATAATAATGTGTTTCTATTTAAATATTGAATGTAAACTTTAATAAGTTAATAATTTATTATTATTGTATGTAACCAACTAATCAAATTGGAAACTATGCATATTTGTGCAGCAAAAACTTTTTTTTTTTGTTTTTAAATCTTCTTCATAATAATAACTATAAATAAATAAATAGTAATGCATTTATCTAATGTTACAACTTCTATCACTTCTATTTTTCGAACTTTTCTGTATTAGTATCCAATTCACATTCAGTTTTTTTCTCTCGAGAAAGTTTTATATAGTAAATTAGTATAAACAGTTTCAATGGTAATGTGAATATCAAATAACCATAAGAGCGAGATCGAGTTGATTTCCTTTGGTTTTATATAATAATAATAAATATAGTTACCGCTTACAACATACATAACCAGTTAAGTAGGCCTATTGTACCTCGGAAAAATTGAACACAACAATTTCCTACGACAAAACTAATAATAATAATAATAATAATAATAATAACAATGGGACAAGAAGTTTAAGATCAACATCAGGGTCACTAATTCATATGTCTAGCGTGAAGTTACTGGTGGTGCCTGCCAACTTGGATTATAATTGATAATATACACTATTACTAACTCATTACCGCTAGGTCGAAATCCTCTCGTAAAAGAACGCAGGTGGATAAATTAATGATACGAGTAATGCTGCAGTTATAATGTTTAACATTAAATTTTGATGTAATGGATTCAATGGCAGTTGTTGAAAATCATGAAATCACAATAAATATTGTTACCATGCCAAAACCTTCCGTCATGTAAAAGAATAAACGGCAATGGATATTATCCTGACATTGTCAATGTTTTTATGTACTGCTGCAATGACAATTGTGTATGTTTATTCTTTTGTTTCAAAATTAAACATATCGGGAGGTGATAATCTTGCTGATACAGGAGAAAGGTAAACTTTCGTTGTTTATATTATTATTATTATTATTATTATTATCGGTTATCGTTATGTATATAAAATTTTAATTTTGCGCATCTAACTCTAATCAATCTATTACTATTAATATTGTACGTGAAAAATGAAATCTATATGAATTTGCCACCCCAAAATTTTAATTATAAATTTCAATTTCACATAATTTCTCAATGAATTGGTAGAATTTATAATTATTTATTTATTGTTTTGTGGACAGCCACAAGAGGGGCGCGGCGGAAAAATATTTTTTTGAATTGATCACACACACCTGATACACATGAGGAGTAGACATGTACCAAAAAAAGTCAGGTGAGTGTTACATTTTATTAAGCTTAAATTGATTTCTTTTTCCTTCACATTCACGCGATTTTGGATTTTATTTAATTTAAATATAGTAGCAATAACAATAATAATAATGGCAGACACTTCAACGCCTTGGACACAAGTACTTGAACAAAGTCATAAAAAGAATTACAGAACTATTGGTAAAAAAATTTTTTATGATTGTTTCTTTTTCTCATAATTCTTTTTACAATTTCATGAATAATCTAAAATGAAAGAAAGAAAGAATATATTTATTGATAAAAAACCTACTATTATTTTATTATATAAATATATTTTCAAACAATAACAATAATGATAGTTTATGTAAATATGACAAACATTCGTCGTAATGGAGAACCATCTTCTCATAATATTAGATTTCAAGATTTTCTTAAAGATGATCCACGCTATCTAATATTTCTTATGGCCTTCAATGATAATAGTTTGCACGGTGATGTGAAATCAAACCCAAAAGCTATATTATCATGGTAAAAGGCTAATCAATTAATTAATCAATGAATAAACTGGTTAATGATAACGTTTGGTTCACATTTTTTAAATTTCTTTTCAATTAATTTATATCAAATTGATAGGCACATGTCTACTACCAAACAAATTTATACATTAAGTGGAAGATTTTACAGGTAAATTATACTGTTTATTATTATTATTAATGCTTATTATTATTATCGAATATTTTATTTATTAATTATATTAATTGTTTTTATTTATTTATTCTAGTTAGTATATAATCATAAATATAAAATCACACATTGTTGTTATTACATTATTATTTCCAATCTTTCAAATAATCAGTATAATTGGAATTTATTTATTTTGTAGTTGTATCAGCTCCGATCAAAATAACAAGATTTCCACCACCAAAAATCTTGTCAGATGAATTATCAAATGTTCCATCCCAAGAATACTGGGAATCCATCAGACGTCATTACTGGTCATCACTCTCATCACAAACAAGAGTAGTTTTTACTTGGCCACCTTCAGGCGAAATACCAAAAGCAAACAAGGAAGCATTCCAGTGTGACAAACTGGAATCAATGTTAACAGCTGATAATAAAAAGACAGCTTCAGATGATCCAATGAAAATTAAGCATGATTTCGCATTTGACAATTTTTGTTTATTGGTTTTTAAAGTAAATGAGGTGGTCAAATTTGATTATGGAGGTTTTCCTATGACTAGAGTTGTAAGTGTTTTTAAATAATTGTGGAATTGATTATTATTATTACGAGAGGTTTATTGGAAAGTTTATAATTTATTAAACATCATATAATTTTATTTTTTTACAGGTTTACAGTTTTGATGAAGATAGCAATACTTGGGCGGCAAAAGAAGCAAATCCTTAAAAATAAATTATAAAATAATTTATATTTTATTTTATTATTTGTTGTATATTACCATACTCATAAATATATATATAATCTATATATTATTAAATTAATTTAAAATGATTTCCATTAAAGAAATCTTTACTTTTTTTTTAGATTTAAATATTCTTTATCAGTTAAATAATCAACAATAGTCTAAAAAAAATTTTGTTAAACAGATTAATTATGATTATTCAAATTGTCAGTTATTATTATTATTATTATTATTATTATTATTATTATTATTATTATTATTATTACCTTTACACTTTCAGCAATTCCAAGTTTATCTGTATTAATATGAATTTCAGGTGATAATGGTATTTCATAAGGAGCAGAAATACCGGTAAAGTCTTTTTATTATAATGATTATAAATAATTAGTGGATAATGGATAATAAATAATAATAGCCACCCAAAAGTAAAAAAATTGCAAAAAATACCTTTTATATCACCGGCTCTTGCTTTTTTATATAATCCTTTTGGATCTCGTTGTTCAACAGTTTCAATAGATGCATCAACGAAAACTTCAATAAAAGGAATTCCTGATTCATCATGTAATTTTCTAGCAGCATCACGATCATTTCTATAAGGTGATATAAATGAAGTAATAGCAATAGTTGTAGAATCTGCAAACAACTTTGCTACCTAAAAAAAAGGATAATCCCCCCAAAAAAAATCAATATCAAATTTTATTTACATCCCTCCCTCCCCCAAAAAAATTTCACCTCAGCTATTCTACGAATGTTTTCCTCGCGATCTTTAGGTCCAAATCCCAAACCTTTGTTTAATCCTAATCTGATATTATCTCCATCAAGTCGATAACTTGCTAATCCCAAGTGTAACAAGTGTTGTTCTAATGCACATGCTATAGTAGATTTACCTGATGCAGATAATCCTGTTAACCAAATTGTAAAGCCTTTTTGTCCTAATAATTTCTCTCGTTCTTCAGATGAAACTGATCCTTCGTGCCATGTTAAATTATCAGTAACCATTACGTATATAGTAGATTTAAAGATTTTATATATATATATTACGTTGATTGATTAATTGGATTAATTAAAATTTTTTTTTTTTTAAAAAAATAGTTTTCAATGATTTTTTATAGCAAAAAAAATTAGATTTAATTAACCAATAACCAATCATATTTCAAAATAATTCTCATGTATCATATTTTCATTGTTACAAATATATTACCACCGATAAAGTGAATGAAGGCTATCTTTATTGTTGCTTCTTCAATTTTTAAAAAAGAATGTTCTAAATATTCAAAGCAAAGTCAAACTTTTCTCGATAAGGCAAATATTATTGTAAAGAAATTATGTGAATAAATCATGTGAATTACACAACAATTTCGGGACTAAAATTCAATGAAAAGACTATTACTATTTCGGCATTTAGGATTCGGTAACGGTCGTTTATCGAGAGGTCTATAGTTAGGATACGTAATTCAAGAACAACAAGCTTCAAGTAAAAAAAGAGAAGGCGTTAAAAAAAACACTATTTGCAAAATTAGAAGAGGAAAATGCCAAAATGAACAACATGAACAAAATGAAGAATTAGAAGCTGAACAAGATGTTTGCTCGTCAAGGAATTCTTTGTGTCCAAACTTCAACTGCGCTCAGTTTACTGAAAACCAAACTCTTGGCATTTGCATTTTAAATAAATTTAACTGACCAATGTTTTATTGCTTAAGTGTGTATATACCTTATTACTATAGACAATAAGCGTGCCGAATATCTAAAACTTTATTTACGGAATGAGCGTATCTAATGTAAGTTTTGAAAGTCATCCAATTTAAATACTATTACATAATGTATGCTATCACATTAATATATTATTGTTCCGGCGAAGGAATAATAAAATTATGATGTGGGTATTTTAGTGTGAAAAAAAAAGTCTTTTATCTTAATAAAAAATGCCCAAAATACATTTTATTATTATTTTCACTAATTCAGCTTTGAAAACCACGATCCAGTAAAAAAACCCACATATTAATCCGCTGAAGCTTTGTCACTAATAAAAAGAAATTATCCAACTTCAAATATATGAAAGGAATTGTATTTAAAAATTATTATTTTCTTTATATTATGGGTCTGATTCATTTCGTCGACAATCATTTCGTCGAAAGTTCATTTCGTCGAAAAGTTCATTTCGTCGAAAAGTTCATTTCGTCGAAAATTATTTCGTCGACAGTTCATTTCTACAACAATTCATGTTAATTTGCATGTATTACAGTGTCACCAATTATGTTTGGGAAAGCGTGAATTAATTGATGATAACAATTGTTTATTATGTTTATGTGGAATAGGTTTACTAACATATTAGTTTAATTAGTGGATAATTTTGGTTTTAAATGTTTGTTTATTTTATTTAGTCGAAAACTAATTAAAGATTTAAAGCTATGTTTTAACACAAAATTTTAATCCATATAATCATTGATTGACCAATCAAAATCGTGAATTTGATATAAAAAAATAAAATAGATAAATGAATTATTTATATTAATATGAGAGTTAATAAAATATTCGACAAATGGTTCAAATTTAAGAAGTTGGAAGAAAGCATGCGACAAACCTTCAAAATAGTCTAATAAGTTAAATTGTACTACTCAAAGATGTATTTAAAGGGTTGGTTTTCGACTTGGTTGAAAAACAACTCTCCTTCTAACTCTTCTCTTGACCATATCTCTCGACATAACCTTATATAGTGCAAACTTCATAGATCTTGACTAACATTTACTTCAATCAAACCCGCCTATATTATTTGAATAATTGATAATAATAAAACGTTGATAAATATATTTACAAACAGCTTCGTAGATCTCAACTACTTTAATACTTACTTCGATCAAACCCGCCTATATAATTGTTGAATAATTGATAAATATTCGTTCTGCAAACTTCATAGATCTTGACTTTGATACTTGCTTCGATCAAACCCGCCTATATAATTTATTTGAATAATTGATAATATTAAACCGTTGATAAATATATATTTACAAATAACTTCGTGACTGCTTTAATACTTACTTCGATCAAACCCGCCTATATAATTGTTGAATAATTGATAAATATTCGTTCTGCAAACTTCATA